GGTCGACGGTCTACATTTTAATCAATATACGCGTCTCCGAAGCGCGCACCGCGAGAGAGCTTCCCCTATTGCACCTCCCCTCTGGTACACTCTTTGGATCTCGATAAAAATTAATATTAGAACCCGTGTTTCTTCGCACAGAAAATATGCCGTGCCACCCTTCGTGTAATAGAAGGCATTGTTCCTATATTGGCTCTCACGTATCAGTATCATCGACCGCCCTTTAATATCGTCGTCCATTGATGGCTCGTTGAGAAATTATTTGAATTCGGTTCTTTGATGTTTACCCAGTTAATTTTTCACGTACGCTGAGAGGCGATTATCACACACGGTACTATATTAATTTCCTTCCTTTCTGTGTAGTCACGCGTAATATGTTTATATTGAGGGTAACAAGAATTTTTGCATTTTCAACTATTAATGCACTAATAATAATAATATACTGATTGTAGAATAAAAGAATTAATAGTGTAGAGAAAAAAATTGTAAAATACAAGTAAATTAGAAAACCTGGAAAATGAGACAGCAAAAAAGATAATATAGCTCTTTATTCATGAACTAATATATTCAGTTGAGAGTCTAGAACGATGTTCTTGAAAAGACGAAAGATTACTGTGGAGACGTTTATTCGATAAAGCGGACATCTCACCAATACGCCGACTCGTTCTCGTCGTCGGCCGTGAAAAGCGCACAATCGCGATTTCGATTAATCTCCGAACCGGTTGTAAGAGCCGACGCGAGATTGTCTTCCCTCGTAAGGGCGCGGGAAAGAGACTCGATATTCCAACCTCGTCGCTCAGGTTTCCCGGTGCAGAATTATTCCGAGGGGTAGCGGCGAGAATTAAGGCTTCTTGCGGCATAAAAAATCTGTGTAATCAATTATCGAACCTTTTACCCCATATTTCACGGCCAATGAGTCGCCACCCCCGCCGACGCCTTAAGCGCGGCCGAGACTTACCGAGACCCTCTCTTTCTCTCCCTCGACACTTTTTAGCTGCGATCCTCGGGTCCTTCCTCATCGCGGCCTCACCCTTATCTTCCACTCGTTTCTTCCGTCGGCTCTTCGAAAGAGAGAGGGGACAGCCGAGTCTTTGTTTGAGATATCAAATATTTATTTTCTTAAACAACGCTGAGGCCCTTCTAGGGCGAATCGCCAGTATTTTTTGCCTTAATAAATTATCAGCGATTATTGGCCGCGTTTGCGTAAGCAAGGCGATTTCTTCCTCTCGCCCTTTCTTTTTCTACGAAAGATTGTGCCCCCTTGTTGTGATGCTTTGTGGTTAAGATAAATACGGTGGATTTTGTTGAAATTTTTTATTTGCGAGTCACAAGATAAACAATTAGACATCAAGCAAAACTTCAATAGGGAAAATTGCCGCTGTGGTTGAATAAATACGATATATAAAACCACATCAGATTGAAAAACGCAGGCTTTACTTTTTTAATTACGATCCAGCGCGTGTTGATTTAATGTGAAATTGTACAATTTTTGAAAACATTCGAAGGAACTCGCTAATTATTCACGAGACGTGCAGTCGCGCGTTACCGAGGCTCGAAGAAAACAACTCATCGAAGTGCAAAAAGTATACAAACGGTATACATTAGTGGCGAAGAAGGGTGTGCTCTTTGACACGGGGCATTGATGCAATATTAAAATATAAGCGAGCACAAATCTCAAAGGACATACACGTAAGTCTTTGTAACGAGTTCTTGTTCGCGCGTACACACGTTGCGATATGCAGATGCGACAATACAATAAAATAAACAACAAAGACACTTGAAGGCAAAGCAAGACATTTATACATAAGCATTCTACTGCTACTTTGAAAGTAAGTTCTAACAATAAAGACATTAAATCAACGTCAGTATTACAATTTTTATAATTTTTTAAATAATTACCTAACATGTTTGTACTGTTCTGATAGAAATCAGTTTCAGACATTCAAAAATGCAATTCGATCGTACCTGATTCGAATTAAATCGCCGTCGTATCGATCGATAACGCCGCTGTTTTCATTCTTGTTTGCCCGACCTGATCTTCTTCTAGATATTTTGGAAGGTTTCCCGTTCGGCGATGCAACGCACGAAAACAAACGTTATGACCTCAACTGAAGGAGCGAGAAACAGCGGTGCGCGTGTACAACACACGTGCGCACACGCGTGCGGTCGTGGGCAAACGAGCGCCAAAGTGCCAGATGAAAACTGTGGAAAAACAGCACTGCGTACATAGAACGCCCTCGCGTTTCGCCGCGAGCGGATTTTCCGACAGCAGAGTTGGGGGAGACCTAGAGAGGGAAGAGGATGGCGAGAGAGAGCAGGTTGGCCGCGCGGGAGACGACAACGTAGACGACGACGACGACGACGACGACGACGACGACGATAGAAGGGCTAAAAGGCACTTCTAATGGCATTGTACGCGTTCAAACAAACACATGGAATGCTTAGTAGTTTTTAAAATTGTGGGAAAGTCTCTGCTCTATAGCTTTGCGCGTTTTTCTTTATATTCTTCTTCTTCCCACTCCTCTCCTGTTTTCCGGTACGCGGGTCGTTGGATTTGTGAACGTTGTAATATTACGGCTAATTAATCGAACGTAATTAATCGGTTACGAACAATCATAAAATCTCCGATATGTTCATGTGATAGATAACACATGTGAAAAATTTATCATTTTTTACAGAACGTTATTTCAAACATCTGTAAAACTTGAAAAATTGTATTTTTCAATTGTTTTCTTCGATAATTTTCTTATTTAAGTAAATAAATAAAAACATCGAGAAAGTTGATTATTAAGAAACTAGCTGGCGAGCGGAAAAAAAAATATTTCGTCTCTCGCGTCGACTTTTGCAAACACAAAGCATCGCCACACGCAGACTTTTCATTAATGCCTGAATGAATAAATGCCACCGTGCCCCTCCCCTAAATTCTTAATGCAGCAAGCTTGCTGAAAGTACTTCGCGGGCCTTCAAAATATCTTTAAGAAGTTTGAAGTCTTCCCTCGATAGCATGTAAATATTGCATGTAAAGCGCGACATCAAAGAGATTCTTCTACGGTATAATGTCTTAAATTTCGGCACAAGGAGAGATTAAGCAGCAACATGAGGAGATAAACAATTTTAAAATGTCTATCTATATAAGAACTCATATTCGTTCCTCGGATTAACTCTATAGTAAAGAAAGTTTACCTTTTCCACTCTCTCACTTTCAAAAATATAAATTTAAGAAAAAAAAATTATTTCTCATAAAAAAATAAAATTTACTTGTAAAGAAACACCTATCACTTCTAAGAAAAGATTCGAACGTAAACAATTACATTAATAATTTTGAAAAGATTAATAATGTCTGTGCAAAAATTGAATATGTTTTTCAAAGAGCGTTCCTTGAGATTATATGCATAAGTCGCTCGCCATGCATAATCATTTCTGAGTACCTGGGTAACGTTCAAGTGTATTGCAGTAAAAGAGGAGAGGTCACCGGCAAGAGAGCCACGAGAGGAGAGGGCATCGTTCGTCCAGCAAGAACCGAGTTCGACGCTCGGCAAAGAGACCGCAGAATCTGTACTGGCCTCTCTGCGAGGACGTTCCTGGAAACTTCGTTACATTTTTGGTCAAGTCCGCATACGCGATACGCGTTGGACGAGTAAGTGGATCAAAGGGACACAGGAGAATTCCAGGATGACAGAAGAGAGAGAGAGAGAGAGAGAGGGAGAGAGAGAGAGAGAGAGAAAAGCGCGCTGGAAATTGGCGGGCTCTTCTATTGCTCTATCTTTGAGTGCTTCGTTGAGCTTTCTTTCGATGCCGCAGCAGAAAAACCTTTTCCAAAGTTCTTTAGGATTCCGTGAACAAAGGGAATATGAAGCGAGTTGTGGATGGTCGCGTACAGAGAGAAAGAAGATTGATAAAGTGAAAGGAATACCTACCTACACACAAACTTACACGTGATTGATTTCGACACGATGCTATTAGAGTTTTTGTATATTTTCTAAATTGAGATGACAAAATTGTTTAACACATACACACACGCGTACTTCAGGTATATAAGAAATATATATCAGATGTGTGCGAGAAAAGAATCCAAATTCCGATTAAATCTAAGGTTTAAGCATCCTCGTCTATTATATTGCTATGATTTTATGCACGGTGAAGACATTATATTTCTGTCCTTCCAAAAAAAAAAGAAAGTAGAAAATAATTTATAATTTCGAGGAGAGAAATAGGGGAGAGCTTGTGGCAACTGAGCGTCAAAGTCGTGCATTGCGCATGAAAACGCGACGATGGCATGCATGTATTTCTTACGGGAAAAACGAATTGTGCGCTGTGTCTAGCAGAAGAGAGAAAAGGAAAGAGAGAGAAAAAGAGAGAAAGAAAGAGAGAGAGAGGAAGTAAAGCGGACAAAGAGAGAAAGCGAGAGAGGCTCCAACGTGAGTCGTTCGCGCTAAAACCACGTTTAAAACAAAGGGTGCCGCTGGCGAATTAAGAACGATATTTTAACGCTCGACTTAATTGCATTAAATTGCAAGTGAGAAAGAGAGGTATAAAGAAAAAATGTATGACTGAGTGAATAATGCTAAAAGAGACGAGAGAGCGGCGGTTTCTGAGAATAGCGGCTGTTCTATTTCGTGATTGGACATATAAGCAGTTACGCGCGAAACACGTCGTACTTTCTGTAGCATTTCTTATTGTTTCGAGCACATGAGAGAGAAAGAATAACAAAATTTTTCAGAGGGAAAGAGAGACTTTGTAAAGATTATATACTTAATATTATTAGAGAAATATATATATTTTTTTTTATGTTACATATAATATATATGTAATTGTAACGTGTCTGTTATGATTTTAACTAAATTATACATACATAATAGTAATATAATTTCCAGAATTGTAATCAACACAACCATAATGTAACCTAACATAAACAACAAATATACATACGTTACTAATTAATATAATATATTGTATGCATATTGTAAGTACTTACAATTTTTTTTTAATATTACTGGAATATTGTTTGAGAGCTTTTATAGAAATAAATTCAACAAAACTACTACTACTTGTGCTTATAATTGTTGCTGTATCTCATTTCAAAAATTTATCAGTTTAGAGTCTCAGAATCAAATCTTATCATCTCAACCAAAATTTATATTTTAAATTTATACGTTATGTATAAATTTTATTTGTTTTTAATTTTAATATTTTTCTATTTTCAAAAAGAAAAAAAATACAAAACGTCAAAAATTGACATGTAATTATTTAAGATTCAGATTTGCGAACTGAAATCTCAACCGAAGCTACATTATCGGGTTTATGGACCGTATTTTCAGCGGAAACAGAATTCTCAACTTTGCGAACTACATTTTCCGCAGACACTGAAATCTCGATCTTGGGAACGCACGTATTCACCGAAGTGTTCAATATATCGCCATGCATCCTCTGATGATTCTTGAGTGTGACAATGCTCCTGAAATACTTGCCGCACTTCACGCAGTAAAGATTACACTTCTCATGGCTCTTCCGATGCTTATTCAGCAGATCCTTGCGCGTGAAGGTCCTGTTGCAGATCGTACAGGAAAACTTGTCCGGGTTCACGTGTAGCACATTGTGCCTCGTCAAGTTGTCCATTCTCGTGTACTTCCTGGTACAAATATCACAGGTAAACTTGGTCCTCTCAGAATGACATCTCCGATGGTATTTCAAGTATCTCTTCTCGGAAAAAGTTTTCTTACATGCGCAGCAAGCGATCTGGTTGCTGTCGTCTCTCTTCGCATCCATGTGACTCGTCAATTCCGCGTACGTAACAAATTCCTTTTTGCAAAAGAGACAGACAAATTTCTTTTGTTGTTGTCTGTTTCTCTGTATGTTTTCCAGAAAGTTTGGATCGGTCATGATCTTGTAGAGAAAGGAATCCTTCAATTTGTCCTCCGGTTCGCTAGAAGTATCTGTCGTGGTATTATCAACTTGATTCAAACCATCCTTTGTTGACAGATTCAAGACCTCCACGTTATTGTTGTCGTAGTCGGCGAGTGGTGGTAACGTGTCAGTGGATGAAGTCAAGGTCAGCTCATTACTCGAGATAGTAGACGGCACGAAGACCATTGAAGATGATGCATATGTCTGATAAACACACATTTGCATCTTATTTTCTTTTTTTTAGAAAAGAATTTTGATCAAACGCACACACACTATACATGTGTACGTGTGTGTATATTTTGCAAGATAAAAAAAAGCAAAATTTGTTAAAATTACAATATAAAAATTATCATATATATTTACCGGGTGCACGTCCTTATTATCTTTTTTCTTTATAGAATAATCTTGTATTGCACTTGTGTTGTCATTTGCATCTTTTGTTGCAGATGCAATTTTATTATTATCATGTAATATTCTGTGTCTCGGAGCTGTTTTAATTCTCATCTTTATACTGTGAAAAATTGTACATGATTGTAAAATAAATTTCATAACAATATTACTAATTTTAACATACAATTTAAATATTATACAGCGTAAGTATATAACAAACAAAGTTAAGTTATAATTTATAAAATAATTTTTAATTGAATAAACTATAAAAATATTCCTTTATATATAATTATCAACATTTATAATAAAATCAATATAAAATATATAAGACCGAGATTTGTATTTCGGAAATATATATTATTAAAATTATATAAATATTTTTATCACTTACATTCTCAAAAGACGTGAAAGTAAGTCCAATGTGTCCAAATAAGCGGCAACGTCTCGTTATTCCAGTCAAAAATACAATTTTTTCAACAATCTTCACACATTCTTACGAATTCGTAATATCTTAACACTGCGAAACGTACTATACGAAATACCGATCACGACTAACAAGATATCGTACTAGCTCCGAATTGACCGTCGTTCAATCGACCTTGATGATCGACACGACAACAAGAGCCCTAGCGGAGTCGCGGGAGAATCCAAGTTTGCAAACACAGTTACAACCTTGTATTCACCAAAATAGATTATCACGGAGGCTATTTTCCTCATGTTACTTCATATCAACACGTAGTTACGTGCCCAAATATGTCTTATAATATCTTACATAATTCTCGGCGTACGAAACTTCTTCGAAAAATTACGAAATGTCAGTAATTTTAACGTGAATATTCTATATAAGTTTTATTTAAAAATTTACATTAAGAAAATTTGATTACAACAAATTTTCACATTTATTGAGAAAGACGAGATTAATTTTTTTTATAGTCTCAAATATTTAAATATATATTTAATAATAATTTGTATGTGTAAAATGTATCGTGCGCAAATAATTAACTTGTATAAAGTTTAAAATACATTAGAAATGTATAAAGTCATAAGTATGCGATTACAAAAGCACAGCAAGATTCGCGAGATTCTAAATATCAATTCGCTATTCATAGCTGGTTTGATTGCCTCGTCCGTGTGTATATACGTAACAAAAAAAAAAAAAATAGCAGAGTGAATATTTTCCCTTTCTGATATACTTTTATCACCCATTTTATTCGCTCTCTACACAGAGAAAAGAATAAGCGCGCCACCGCCCGCGCCGAACGGAGTAAATCGACACGATGCTAAAAAAAGAAACCGAAATACAGAACGTCGGGATAAAAGAGCGGGAATAACAAGAGAGAAAGCAAGGGGGTCAAGCATTAAATTGTCAAAAAAAAAAAAAAAAAAAAATTCACGCTGTTTGGTACGATGTCCCCATAGCCATCCTTGCACAGCCCCGGTCGTTAATACGACATAAGGAGGAGCCAGGGTTAAACGAGGGTGAAGCGAGGATTTTTAATTGTAGTTCGCCCGATATAACCCCGCTCGACCCGTCGGTATTGTCATACCGGAGCGGCGCTTTTCTTTATTTCCCCAGTGGCTGGATGAGGTTATACTTTTTTTTAAACTACGGCAATGCCTCCGACTTCTTATTAGCAAAGCTAATTGGAAATACAAATGGTTATTCACGGTAAGAAGGAAGAAGGTTATATGCCGAAGAGTGACTGCGAGGTGGAAGCGGGTAGGTGGTTTGCAGATAGAAAAAGCGAACTGGTGAAGAGAGAGAGAGAAAGAGAGAGAGAGAGAGAAGGGGGGTAGTACACTTCTGCGTATTAAGGTTGTATTTGCCTCCGGATAATTAGGACTTTTTCCCGACCAATTCGGATGAATAATTGATTTTGCTACTCCCTGCGCCGCCGCCGTCCGGACGCGCCTGTCGCTCTTGAACCTCGTCGAATGACAATCACTCGGAGAAAAATACGGATCTCAGCGATGAAATATTCAATATCTCGCGCGATATTACGCGTACACCAGAACGCAGTACGGAGAAATGTTATCAAGTACACTGTGAAATGTTAGTAAAACCGAATGTTGAAATTGTAAAACATCGAAATTTAGAAAATTACAAAATATATTAATTTTTAATCGTGAAAGTTCTCATAAAATAGAGTTCATTTTAAATAAATAAATAAATAAAGCAGTTCCTTTTGAAAGTAATAAAATCTGACAGCGACTACTTCCAACTCTGTTTGACTTGTTTAAAGAAACTTTTTTTTCGCAATTTTTTTTCAGTAACATGAAAGGCCGTCGAACGCTTCACGAGACATTTTGACACCCAGTACATCACACCCATTTCTTTCATCTTATATTACGTATACAATATCTGTGTATCGAAGCTGGTTGATCCCTGGTAGGTTCCCTTCCTCGGCGCACGAGGCCATACATCATACCACCTTCTTTATTAAACTCATATTTTTCAAAAAGTCTCACCTTCGCTATCTGGAGCGCCTCCTCTCGCTCGCAACTCGGAAATCAGCCCAGGGAGAACGAAAAATTCATTTAGCACTCCAGGATAAGATGGATATGAAAGTTTTCAAAGCTAAAGGTGATTTACGGTCGCGCATCCCGCCACCAATGTGACTTAATTGACTTTTTATCATAAATGATGTTATGCGTATTCGCGTACGCATATATAATAACAGATATATATTTTTTTACTACATTATTATATTCTTCCAAAAAAATCTACATAATCTACATATTTATAAATTTATAAAGTTAAGACACTCTGCCTTATCTACTGGCGTTGACAAATTTTCGACAAAATAAATTTTTCACGATGATGTAAGAGAAATTTATATACTTATTCTCTATGTGTGTTTATATATATGTATATATACAATATATATACATATATATATATATATATGTATATATATAATATAAAATATACTCGAAAATTGAGACAAGAGAACAGAGAAGGTCCTTTAACGAGTTGCGCTTCCCAGAGGTATATCGCGTGACGAGTTCGTTGTCTCTTCGTAGCGCCAAAAAGTTAGGCCACTTTCCTTCGACGCGCCGAGGAGAGATTGGCCGTTTGGCGGGTATAAAGAAGAAAGCCACCCCCTTCAGTTTGCCGGCGCACCCTTCACCACCTTTCGCCCGGCTGCCCCTCACGACCTAAAACCGCGGACGGTTATAAAGCATTCTTCCAGTTTATTAGACGGAGACTCGCGGGCCTCTCTTTTATATTAAGCATGTGCATTATTAATGCGCCGGTATAACCGTAAAATGCTGATGAAAAAAAGTTGCCGAGCCCCGCGGGTGTTTCTTCCGTAAGACGAAAGAAGGAAACGAGATCACCTCCGAGATTGCTACCGCAAGCCTGACTGACTGACAGGTTAGTTTTCGACTTGTCGAATATTATCTGACGTGAAATTCGAAATTGAAAAAAAAAAGATGTTTCGTCTTGCGCAAGATGTCAACGATAAAACTTTGTATTTGAAAAAAAAAACCAAAAGAAACAAAAATAGCTGGCTAATTTTTTTTCTCTTTGCTCGAGTTAGACCGTTTCGCAAGATAAGACAGACGGCGACAAACTGACAGAAGTTACACGCGGCGGGGATTTCCACGGAAATCGATGACACCCTCGACGACGACGACGACGACGACAACGGCGCAACTTCGGACGAGAGAGAATCGCCGAATAGAATGCCCGTAACTTATCCAGATAAGGGGTTGTAAAACGATGCTGTATCTATCTGCCAATACGGTCCGCTCCCCCTTCTCGCGAGATGGGAGGCTCTGCATCCAGGTTGTGGGTAGATATAGGAAGCAATTTCGCAGAAATTGATGCCATTTGAATATCGCCACGACACGCGCTTTCAAGATGGTGCCGTTCGTAAAGGCGTTTACACGATTGTCGGAGATCTCTATCCGTCCGTTTCTCCTCGACAAATACTACCGAGACACATTGGCATTATATGTTTCGCGGATCGTATTTCCATTGCGGGCTTCGCGCGGCATTCACCGGGAGATGGAGCGACTAAATGTAAACCGGGCGTCTATTCCTCGACATTTGTTTTCGCGTCGATTATAATAGCCCGTATAACTCGAACAGATAGGATTAAGCTTCCGCACCGCGTTCAACAATTAATCGTCATTCACATCGATTTATAGAAATTATCACAATTAATCATCATACACGAAAATTGCGAATCTCCCGTGAATTTCCATCCCGCATGGCGGAATAGTAAAATTATTCCAAGTTTCATCGAATGTATTATCACGAGTCATATCACTCGCCCGGAATACTTCCGGATGACTTTAATCAGGACGCGCCTTCACCCGTCTTCCCATGTGTGTGATTATACTTGGTGACTTCTAGATACGTGCCGGGGTTACGTCACGTCGGTGTTACCGAAGTCTTGTTTATCAAGTGCGCTGCCACAGTCAAAGTATGTCTGCGTATACACTCTCCCCGTCAATGGCGCTTCTTAGCTTATGCATAAAGCCCCTTTCGCCCATCGCCCTCACGCCCCGCCGATCCCGTCTATCCACATCCGCCTCCCGTAGTCTCCTCATCTTTCACGATTTCATCCCCGCCGTTTCATCGAGGCTTCAACCCCTTCTTCGACCGGTAGCGGTAGATCGGGGTGTCTCGCTCGCTCGCTCGCTCGCGCGAGTATTTCCGCCAGAATGTATCGCAAAATCTATACCAGCCGTGAGAGATGCGGCCGGGAAGGGGGAGGGAGGGAGGAAAAGAGGGAGAGAGAGAGAGAGAGAGGAACAGGAGGAGTGGGCGACGGTGGCGGAGGCCAGGGTGGTTTTCGAGAAGGGTGAGCCCCGTCACATTTCACTACAGACTAATAACTTCTGAATATTCATTTCGTGTTTCTCCTTGCCTGCTTGCGAACCCGTAAGCAAGGCTAATGCGACGCTCACAACGGAATGCCTGATGTTTTTGCGAAAGCGTCGAGAACGACGACCGAATTTTGATGATTTTAATCACCTCGCCTGCCACAAAGTGTTGAACCTCGTGTAGCGCAAATTGAGAAATATATAATTCAATCAGACCATCACATTGTTCAGAGAAACGAATGAGCACGTCGGATTTCGTGTGAGATGAGTTTAAGAAGTGTGTGCTCTCCTTCGTCGAAGCGAGAAAAACAGAGTAGCTTGGAGGCGAGGGAAAAGCGAGAGACGGTTGTCATGGCAACTATGAATTAAGTAATCAATGAATTATTATTGACATTGATGTCTTCGCTCTGCTTCTCCTCCTGCTTCTCTGCGATACTTCAAGACTCATAAAGCAGGTTGCCCTGCGTTCCTGATTAATACACCGGTAGTATCTCTACTGGATTTTACACAGGATAAAGAGATGGGAGGTCTGAAGCGAGAGAACGAAACGAACGCGAGGCGAGTGTAGCTCGCCGGATGGAAAATGATCCGTGGCGTGGTTTCCCGTGTAAACATAATTTTTCTGCTCTTTACATTCAATACAGGAAGCGCAAATGAGTAGCTATATATCGTGTCGCGGTTTGAGCGCGATTAATAACTGTGTGTGCCTCG